TTTCTCACCAGCTTCAGGATCTCGGCAGTCGGGTACTCAAGCACCTCCGCCAGGTAGATTGGGATGCGTCCACGGCACCTTCTTTTTAACTCATTTGTGATTTGGGGCTGTAGCTGAAGTATTATTTGAGCTTTTGAGATGTTAATCAGCTGCTCCCAATTGTAAAAACCACCTTGTTGTCATGGTTACACATCATAACAAATGTCCAAAAGTAAAAACGTTTCAGTAAAAACCCTTCCAGCTGCACAGCGTCTGATATCAGAGGAAATTATCATCCAAAAAAAGCAATTTACATCCAGAAAAAAAGCAACATCCCAGAATGAAAATAACAGATCTGCTCCAACATGCAGTCACTTTTAACAGCACAACTCTAGAACTTGAACTATACTGTACTATACTGTACTATACTGTACTTTAAAAATAATTTGTCTGACACTTCAGTGTAAAAACTCCCATAGATGCTCAGTATGGTTGAAATACTCACCCTCTTAATTATACCATACCTTACCATTTTATTTATAGAGCACTTAAAACAGCTACAAGGCCAATCAAAGTGCTGTACAGACAAAACAACAGGTAACACACAAAGCAAAATACAAAATGAAGTAAATCAGAAATATAGACATAAAAACAATGCAGATAATGACGACTAACCAGTGTGGAGCGTACAGGTTCAAAACACATATCCTCTGGTGTTGAAAGCTACAGAATAGTAGTGGGTTTTTAAACGGGACTTGAAAACTGAGAGGGAGGGGGCCTGTCTGACAAGCAGAGGTAACTCGTTCCAAAGTCTTGGTCCTGCTACAGAGAAGGCCCTGTCCCCTCTGCGCTTAAGACGAGTTCCTGGAACTGTGAGGAGCAACTGGTCCGCTGACCTCAGGGAGCGTGGTGGGACATATGGTTGTAGCAGATCAGAGAGATGGGGGGGGGGGGGGGGGGGAAACTGTTCAGTGATTTGTAGACATACATCAGTATTTTGAACTGGATTCGAAGGTGAACCGGTAACCAGTGCAGTGAGGCCAAAACTGGTGTAATGTGCTCTCTTTTGCCTGTACTGGTTAAAAATCGGGCTGCTGCATTCTGGACCAGTTCTAGTCATGCAATGGAGGTCCGACTGATACCAAACAGGAGTGAAATGCAGTAATCAAGCCTAGATGTAATGAATGCATGTATTACTGTCTCCAGATTATTTTTGGACAATATGGGCTTCAGTTTAGACAGCCGCCTCAGTTGGAAGAAACATGATTTAACAATCATGTTTACGTGACTGTTAAGTTTCAGGGAAGGGTCCATTATCACTCCCAGATTAGTGACTTTGTTTTTCTGACAGGGTTACAGCGGAGAGTTCGATACAGTGGTTTGTGATCGTGTCGTTGGGAGGGAACAACATGACTTCAGACTTCTTTTCATTGAAACTCAAGAAATTTAAAGCCATCCAGTCCCTGATGTCAGCTAGGCAGTCGAGCAGAAGTTGAATAGAGCATGTGCTATTGTGTCTTAGGGGGAAGTAAATTTGACAGTCATCGGCGTAGAAGTGGAAGGGCATGTTGTGTTTCCAGAAAATAGCACCAAGCGGCAGCAGGTATAAAGATAATAGGAGGGGACCCAGGATGGACCCCTGCGGAACCCCCTATTTAAGCTCTGCCACTGCAGAACTAAAATCCTTGATGGATACACAAAAGGATCTGCCAGCGAGGTAAGATCTGAACCAATTGAGGACTGACCCTCACAAGTCCCTGTGATGCCCACCTAACTATGCTTGGGTGGGCTGTGTGATGGTTCTTCAGGGATGTTCTGGATTTGATTAACCTTTTCTCTGAGGTGATAAGTGGAGCCACAACAGCAAAATGTCCCCAAAGAGTGCAGTAGAGTCACTGGATCTCCTATGAGAACAAGGACTCTGGTTGGAGTTTGCATTTGTCGAACTGAGCAACCCTCACAGCTCAAATATTCTAAAATGAGGTTCCTTGGAAAGATTATGAGCAATTATTATCATCTTTGTTGCAGATAGATCTTTGAACGAACACCATTTGAGAAAAAACAGGTTAATTTTGATGGGATTTATGAGTCTGAGCAGAACCAAAAACAAAGTGGATTGCTGTCATCTTAAAACAGCTCTAACATCACAGAATTCACATGAATGATGTTTTATGGAACTTTTCACCAGGTTCACATATTGTGGTTATTCTGACAGAAATATTACGGGTTTCCTGCTGTAGGTTCTCCAGGTTGCATTGAGGTGCTACAGCTAGCTGCTGCTGTACTGTTTGCACTTGCAAATAACCATAAAACTAGATTGAAATAACATTGTAATGCAAAATTGATAGTTGTGAATAAGTTTTTAAAATGTCATCTGCATGAACTGCTGAGAAATTTTAGTGATTAGAGTTCTTTTTAAAACAGAACAAGTCCATTTTGGTCTTGACCCTACTTGGACTAGCTGTTAGCTTTTCAATCTGGTCAGAAATAAACTGATCCCATCATTTTAAATGTTCAGTTTTAACATTTTGATAATTTTTTTGTTTTACATTTTCATTGTACTTTCAAGTAAACGTGATTTTATTTGTGTTTTCTTAGGACTTTGTGTTGGAAAAAGTCAGTATTTGTAATGTCAGCTCAGTTTGTTGGGATTCTCTGTGCTCAGTGTCCTAATATAACCTGCACACGTTACTGAAAAGTGTAGTCGTGGGAACTGCAGGTGGTCCTGAATCCCACACAGGTAACCTAACCAAGTTATCTTGCTTCGTCTTTTTAGAGCCATCTGTTTGGCATTAACGTGCTTAGGTTGTATTAAAGATATTTAAGACTGAAGTGTCGGGTCTCCTCTGGTTGTCCTAATTGCGAGACCTCGGCTTTTGATTGGTCTAACAGCCCAATTGGCTAATCCCAAAGTGAGTGCCGGTGTGGCCCAAATTCTGTTGGTAAAGAACATAGGTAGATGTAGGTCCTCACAGCTTTCCTAAGCTTGTTATGAAATACCTGATAGATTATCAACCATTCTTTGTAAAAGATTGCAGGGGGAAAAAAAGTCTAGTTGTCTGAATGATTAAAAAGAATTACACTGAGGCTTTTTGCCTGGTGTTAAATTGGGGATTGGCATTTTCCCAATATGTCAAAAGTCTTCGTCTGCACCTGCAAACCATCAGTGAGTTTATTTTTGTTTGCTTGTGTGGCCCTAATCGGGCTTAGCCATTTGTTTTCAGCTTGAATACGTGGCTAGAATTGATTGTCCTTTCTATAATACTCCAAGTGGAATTTGCCTCCCTCTGTTTTGTGGACATGGCGTTCTGTTTTAAACATAGGTCGTCAGATAATCTCGATCTTGTTGTGACAACAAATACTGAGGTCTTTTGTGTACAGTGTAAACTTGTGTTAGGGCAGCACGAGGAAAGCGGTCATCACTTCACTTCACTGAGGCCGTGCTGAACTCCTTCAAGCGACGTCCCGATGCAGGAATGTTAGGACCCCCTCCTAAATTAATTCTCATTCATGTTCCGAAAAGGCAGCGACACGTCCTTGATAAAATGCAGCATATGCATGTGTGCAGATAATCATCCTCTATCTGTAGCGCTGCATCTCTCTTCCGCCAGCCTTTTGTGGAACTCATATTACAAGCATGCACACAAACAGACTCTGGTTTGGCAACATACCAGCCCTTTGCTCAGATATACTGGTACTGGTTCAACTCCTCTGTCAGAATCCTTCTATTAAGACGGATTAAAAACCTGCCTTTATGCGAGCAGTGTTGGCACGTTTTTTTCTCATTATTTACGATATCGTCTTTAGAGGAAACATTCTGGTGCTCGAGTTCATGGGTCAAGAGACTTTCCCAGGCTGGAGTGTGTTTCTGTGTGTTTCCAAGCTGAGGGGAAGTCCAGAACTTTTGTAACGTTCAGTCTCGGTTGTGGACTAGTGAGAAAAGAAATCACTAACAGATTTGGTTTAACACAGAGATAAAAAAAAGAAGACAGGCACACACAGAAAGTATTTGTAACAGCAGAGAGGAATGCCTTTAGGGTCAATAACCCCATAAAGTTAACTGCACTCGATAGCTGAGTTTAATTTACTCAAGGCACAGATAATCTTATACAGATTGTGTGCTACACTTGTAGAGCTCACAGCACACGTTGCTCATATGTGCATAATTATTTTTTTTTATGCTTTTTTTTTTTTTGCCTAAAGCTGCACATTAAAAA